CATCCTGGGCAGCGAGGAGACCTTCCAGGCGGTGGAGTGTGCCGCCTTCCTGCAGGTGAAGCCCTTGGCCAAGTATTTGATCCACTCCATCAACTCCGACAACTGCATCCTGCTCTACCAAGCCGCCGCCATCTTCGGCCTCTTGGACCTCTTCCATTGTGCCGCGCTCTACATCAGGGACAGCTACACCGAGCTGGAGGAGTACCTGGACTGCCTCTCCGCCGACCTGCTGGCCTACGTGGAGACCCTCCTGCCCAGCACCTTCGTGGCCGTTGGAGCCCACACGCCCACCTTCGAGTTCCTGGAGGACCTCTCCAGGACCATCTGCTACCTGGACGAGGAGACCAACACGTGGAGAACCCTCTCCTGCCTGCCCCTGAGCGCCAGCACGTTCCTAGCCGGCATGGCGACCATGGATAATAAGATCTACATCGTGGGTGGTGTCTACGGGGCCAGCAAGCAGGTGGTGGAGAGCAGCTTCTGCTACGACGCCAACACCAACGCCTGGAGCGAGTTCCCCAGCCCTCATCAGCTGCGCTACGACGTCCGGCTGGTGGGCCACGAGGGCTACCTCTACGCCATCGGTGGGGAGTACGAGAAGATCTCGCTCAAGTCCGTGGAGAGGTACGACGTGGCCTCCAACACCTGGACGTTCATCTCCGACCTGCCGCAGCCCAGCACGGCCGCACCCTGCGCCCAAGCCATGGGGCAGATCTTCGTGTGCTTGTGGAAGCCACTGGACACCACCATCATCTACCAGTACGAGACCCAGCAAGACGTGTGGCTTCCCGTCACCGAGCTCAAGCGGCACCAGAGCTATGGGCACTGCATGGTGGCCCACCGTGACAACCTCTACGTCATGCGCAACGGCCCCTCCGATGACTTCTTGCGTTGCGTCATCGATTGCTTCAACCTGACGTCGCAGCAGTGGACCGCCCTTCCCGGCCAGTTCGTCAACAGCAAAGGAGCCCTCTTCACCGCCATCATCAGGGGGGACACCGTCTACACCGTCAACAAGATGCTGACGCTCCTCTACTCCGTGGAAGAGGAGACCTGGAGGTTCAAGAAGGAGCGGGCGGGCTTCCCGCGCAGCGGCTCCCTGCAGACCTTCCTCCTGCGGCTGCCAAGGCGCGACCACGACATCGCGACATAGCTGGCACGACATCGCGATGTAGGTGGCCCTCCATCCCACGTTGGGATGCTCTCCTTGCGCACAGCCTTGGCTCTGCATCCACTGCTCCCCTGGTCTTCTCTCCTCCTCTGCAGAGCCGTGCTCAGGTCCAGGGATGTGTCACATTGGACCTCGGAGGGGACACTAGACCCTGCCAGAGGGAAGGGCTGCAGGCAGCTGCTTCCTGCCCCTGCCTGCACTGCACGGGCTCTGGGTGAAGTCCCAGCAGATGTGGGCTCACGAGCCAACTTTGTGACTCCTGCAGAGGACACATATCAGAGAGACGTGAACATGGGTTTTATTTATTCTGATCACACTCGGAAGGTGTGCAGCATCCCACCTCCTCTCTGCTCCAATGGGAAATCATTCGTTATATCCTGGAATTAAAAGGAAAGCTACTAAAATCCTGTGATTTTCATTCCTGTTGGGGTTTGGGTGGGTTTTTTTCCCCTACTTCTGAAGGAAAATACCTCCTCGGGGGATCCACGTCAAGGCTCGCTCCTGCCCACGGAATGCTTTTTCAGCTGGGGCTCCGGTCAGAGCCGTACGTGGGAGCGCGGTTCCCACGCAGCTCCCTGGGGAGATCTCCATGGATGCTCCTGGCCATGGCAGGGTCTGGGAGGAGGGGAGATGGGGGGGGCCAAGGAAAGCATCTCCTGGGCATCGGGTGCTTAATGCACTGAGGGACTTCTGGGACTGGGGTGAGCATTAGCCATCGGCTCCTCCAGGTTTGTCTGCCAAGGAACGGGGTGGCAACTGCTGGTGCTCATCAGAGGCTCGTTTCACAGAATCCCAGAATGGTTTGGGCTGGAAGGGACCTTAAAGATCATCGAGTTCCACCCCCCTGCCATGGGCAGGGACA